ACTGGAAAGGAAGCGAAAGTTTCTTGCCACCCTGTCTAGCGAGAAGTCGGGGGTACCAGTCAATATAGAAACGTCAGCATCCTCAGTAACCAAAGAAGAGAAGAGAACAAAGTATACAATTTAAACCACAGGCTCACAACAACAATTAATGGGTTCATCAAATCAACAATCCATCTCTTCTCATGTACAAGGGAACACACAGCCAGCTGGCCCAATCAAGAATGTATCCTCCTCTCTTGGTTTGGAGATGATTGATGAGGAGGAGAAAATTTTAACAGAAGAAAAAAAAAAAAAGCAGGAAAAAACATTTTTACCACACAATGTGACACAAGGGACCAAAGTGACAGCGGAACCAACTGGTCGACATCCAACCCAAATTTCATGAGCACAAAAGGTAAGGGAGCCACTTCATAATAAAACTTTGAATATCAAAAGACCAACAATAAACCCAACGGCTTTACAAAATGAAGAATTGAAGGTTCCTTTGATTAGCTTATCGTCAGTCAGGACATATTTCCTCACGTTGTTCATTCTTCCTTCCCAACAACAAGTGATTCAGCAGGGGGGAAGAAAGACGTCGATGTAGTCATGCCATGTAGACAAATTAACCCAAAGAGATGTTGTATACATTAAACACGTCAACAATTGGATCTTCTATAATAAAGTTGCATACAGATCAGTCAATGCCAAAATCATTTTTTTTTTAAGAAGCTGAAATCATTAAGGGATGGACCAGAAGGAGTAACATAATTTTTCTTAATCCAACCAATCTCACCCACGGTGTTCACGGTGATCTGTCTGTTTGATTAGGACAAAAGGAAGATCGATGTGTGAAAGAAAATGTACTGGAATAAATCAGAAGTAAGAATATATCCATGGTTTTCCAAAAAGATAGGACCGGAAGAAAAGAGGGAACAAGTAATCATAGACTACTATTGGGTAGAATTCCAACACATTCCAATCGAGGTGCAAGCAACTTTTATCCATGACGTTGGTCAACAGTTCAAAATTGTTGACTTCATTGATCCCCTCCCTATTCATGTGGTAAAAAAAAATGATTATTTGATGCTTGCTCTAAATCTTCCACAGGAGCAATTTTTTCCACTTGACGATATACTTCCTTTTAAGATAGGGGGAAGGGTATACCAGATTCACACTGCACATAAGTTCCGGCCCTGGTGTTTCAAGTGCAAGGCATATGGTCACTTGAGTAATGAGTACGCATGTCCTCTACATCCCCAACATGTTGTCCCACCGGAACTAAGACTGAAACGAGACTCACACAGTCCCCTTTGACAGCTCCCTTTGGTAGTAGGCTATGATGGTTGGGTCTACCATGAGGAACTGAATCAAGAAGGACAAACGGTGGGATGGTGTTGGGAAGGAAGAGGAGACTTTAGAAAAACATCTAGACCGCTAGCAGATTGGTTGTCACCTCAGCAACCCGATCTATCACAACAGGGTCAACAAAGTCAACAAGAAAAAAGGGAATCAGCGGGACAAGGGGGGAAATTGCAGAACAACAAGCAAGGAGAATTGTCATCGGCATTGTCATAAGCTGGGGGAAACAATAAAAGAAAAAGCATAGGGCAGGCTGTGCAGGTGGGGCAGGGAACGCTATCAAGTGCATCGGTCTGGCACTGCACAAGGCAGCGCGGGACCCTCCTGGCCGCGTCACGCAGGAGTTGGTCTGAATCCTCGTCGCGAATATACATGGAGCTTCCACAAGCCGCTCCGATCGAGTGCGCCAGCCATACCTCTCACGAGCATCTATGACAGGACAGGGCTTACGCGAGGCACGACTTACCTCCACCTTACGGGAGTTGTCACCTCCCTTCAGTGGGCGTATCCCCGCCGAGCTACCAGTCCACAGTACGAAAGATGATCAGCTGCAATCGCAGAGGTGGACCAGCTGAGGGCGTTTTTCGTTCGCTATAGCATAGGGGGCACGCGCGATACTACGCCTCTATCGGACCCGTACGCGAACCAACATCTTGGGGGGCTGAAGTCCCAAGCGGGATTCGTTGTCGGTCGACTATGACGTATCCCACTCACCACGCGCACACTACTCTCGCAAACACAAGAAATAAAACACACACATACATACACACACCTATATATGTACAGAACGACACTAGACGAACAGCGCGACAACACTCCTAGTCCCTTAGCGGCCGTCCCACAACTGTCCTGATGCGGGAATCAGATAGGCGTCGCGTGCGAGGCTTGGTATAAGATCGAGCGGACACAGGGTTAACTCATATCGATTCGCAATGCAGACGTACATAAGTGGTCGTAAGTATCCATATTCATGCGGTCCTCGTTAGTTTCGAGGGTCATATTCGACACTCAAGTGTCAGCTGACATGCGCCTTGAGGGTTACTCGCTCGACGCTGGACAGCTGCCTAGTGTGGTTGAGATCCACACCCTCTTCTGCACCCTGCGGAGAGTGGAAGGTACACAGGTTCGTACCTGTGGTGGCAATCGTCTCTTATGGCCCTGGAAACCAGCTCCTTCCCCTAAAGCCTGAAAGCGAGTCAAGGGGTTTGACTTTGACGGCTGCCACGAACTACAACGTCCAACTATAATAACTCCAAAAAGCAAGAATAAGCCGAATGCCTCCTTATCCCAAAATCACAACCTTGGGTAACCTTTTCGATTGGCACCACTGACCTATACTGATCCTGAATACACATGCATATATACGAATCCCTTAATGCTATAGCTCTAAGACACTCGGACGACGAAATGTCGCGCGCAACACTTTGAAATAAAGTTGTATGGTTGCAATCCTCTCCTACGTTAACCGGCGATGCTGGTCATACGTGGTAATCGCAGTTTCGGCCTCGCGATATTGAATGGCTGCAGAAATTTATCGTGAGGGGTTACCCTTCACGATATTGAACGGCTGAAGGACATGTCGTTCAGCCCTCGCGACATTTCTGCCCTCAGGGTTGGGTGTCTCGACGGGCAAGGCAGATAGGCTCTGCGCAAGGGAAGGTTCCTTCCCTGCAAAGTTTAGGGTCTGGAATGCCCTCGACAAGGACCTCGAATCCAGGCCCAGGACTAACGTCTGACTAAGAAATCCCTAAGAAGTATGCAACGATATAAGGGTTTTTTTTTCTCCTTTCTTGGCCCCAACCCCGATTTTTACCCTTAAGCGAGGTCCACTCAGGCCATGCGAACACCCAACATAAATACAAATGTATATAGGGGGTAAATATGTAACGATCACTTCTCACAATCACAGTGGGACTCCTCACAACCATACGTATACGCGTGATCGCAGACAGTCATATCCAAAATCCGAATCACATAACATATCTGCAATCACATCAAGGAGTCAAACAAGAGTCCATGCATTACACGGAGTCAACCCCAACCACTCTCTATACTCATACCCCTCGCTTTAGCCATGCAAGCCCCAACCTCCGTCCAGCTAACCATAATTAAATACTCAGTACCTTTGTTAAATGGTCATTCAATAAAAGTCCGGGTGAAACCTTAACAAAACAATAAAATCACCAGGGCTAAAGCTTTTTAGGTTGAGTATTGAGGGTGAATTGGAATTGAGTCGTGAATCGTCGAATCGGCAACCGGCTTGTTATCAGTGATAACAGAAGGTGATCCTCAAGGGATCAAGCTGAATCTAGTCCAAATCCTGAATCGAAACGATGAAAAGGACTTATAACATAAAACAGGTCATTCACCAAGCTAGAACTATAAGTCCCCGGAGACTAATCTTCACACCACGATCCCGCCAGAACTCGTTCTACTTACCCAAACCTGAGTCTACCTCTAAGCAAGTGTCAAAAAAAAAGGTAGGTTTTTGGCAGGATCTTCCTATTCAGGGTGGGTTACCAAAATCGCCAGCTGTCAAAATATAGTCTAACTCCTCGAAATTAGGGAAATTTCGGCAACGCTTCGCGTAGGAAAAGTGTCTTTCCAAAATTTATATGAGTCCAAACATTAAAAAAATAGTCTTTGACTGCCCAAAGTCAAATTTTGCCTAACTCCCTGCATTAAGAAAAATTTGGGCAGCACTCCCTTTAGGAAATGAGACTTCCCAAATTTTTACTAAGCCATGTATGAAATTCAGACAAGTTGAACTTTGGAAAGCCAAAATTTGACTAACTCCTTGGATTTGCGGAAATTTCGGCACTGCTTCCCGTAGGAAAAATGGCTTACCAAGATTTATACAAGCCACAACATAACTGTGCACTCACACATGTCATTCAATCTGAATGGCATTTCCTAAATCTCGTAAAAGAAAAATCCCCAATCCGTCAAATACCATAACCTACATCCGTACAATTAGACAGGACTCACACGACTAACTCAAAGTATGTACAACTCTAACCCACCCTTTGTGTACAAAGAGCCCTAACCGTACTGGTTTTCCTTATAAAGCTGAGCTCTACCCCCATCTGCGATCCTCTCTACTATTCTACCTTGCCTATCGTACATCCTCTCATCCCTCTTAGTAACCCTTCCAGCAGCCTTATCCTCGAGGAACTTCGGACATTCAAGAGTTCTGTGCATGCCGTCTCGGAAATAGAAACACATATTTTTCGACTTCCTCTAAAACTTTTTATTCTTCTTCCCATGTGGATCTGAGGACTTGGAAGCGACTGTCATGGTTGGATGGCTCGTGGCTTCCTGCTGCTGCTGCCTAGAGACATGCTCTCTCGAACTTGTCCCTGTGGCCCAAAAACCCAACTGGGTCCTCAACACTCCCATCTCTGGTACACGCTCGGGAGTATCCAGTCTCTGAGGTCTCTCCAGTGGCATATCCACCTCCATTGCGGCTACTAGCTCATCCAGGTGTAACGCCTCCCTCTTTTCCGCTTCAGGCTAAGTAGGTACGACTGCCCCTGTAAGGGTACGTCCCTGCACTTCTATCAGGGTTTCAAGGAACTCTTCTGCAGACCCTTCCTCAACAAGTGGGGGCTGAGGTTCCTGAGTTGGCCCCTCAACAGGAGCCTCAAATGGCATAGGGGTCTCTTGTTGCGCGACTAACTTTGTGGGGGTCTTGAACTCAAAGCTTCACTCTTCAGCCTTCCTCTTTGTCTCTGCCTCAGTCGGCTCCGGGAATACCTTTTTCAACTTCTCCTGCTGAGAAGGCTTTGCTGCTCCTCCTTGACCAAACAATCCCTGCACCCCCTCACCCTAAATACCGTATCTACTCTGCTCGGTCCAATCGACCACCTTGGTGGCCAAAAGCCTCTCCACTGCAGCCGCCATATCCTGGGGCTTCGTCTCCCATTCAACTTCCTTAGCTTCCATGTGCATCCTCCAGGCAAGGTTTACAGCCTTCTCCTCTGCTAGTTCAGTAGTCAGCTGCTCCACTTCCATCTTCCTGATCGCCAACTCGTCACTGAGTAAGGTGTATCGGAGGAAGGATGTGGTAGCCGCCTGGCGTATCCTCTTATCCACCCGCTCAATTGTCATCCTGGCGCCGGAAAGTCCCAAATCTCCTGCCTCTCTCGCCTTATCTGCCCTGTCGTCGGCCTGCCCCGTCTCTTGCGACCTCTGGCGGGCTGCATCCCTCCTACTCACGTATCTGACCCACATCTCGTCGATCCTTTGCTCACTCGTCCTGGGATCGACTGGCAGTGCAGACTCTACCGCTGCATCCTCCATCTCGACTTTTCTCTCGTATATCTCAGCTAGGCGTGCTTGCACCCCGGCAGACTTCTCCTCCGTAGTTTCCCTCTGTGGCCTCCATGTCGGCACTCGGTGGGTAGCTCGAGCAGAGGCCTCGGCACTTTTCCCTCTCTCAGCACGCGGTGATCCCAGGGATGGCTCAATCGGGGTGGGCAACTCAATATTTGGGTGCTCGGACGCGTGCGCGGCCAATCGAGAATCAATAGTCACGCGGGCCTCAACTCTCCACCCCTCCTCTGGCCGGACCATCTCTGCCCTTCGTCTGGGCGACATAATATCCTCCTGCGGGGGTATTGAAACCTCACCACTGTCTGGTTCAGGAATTCCTTCCAGCCAGGCCTGCTGCACCTGCTCCGGAGCTGGGGTAGGAGGAGTATTTTCTTCAACTGTAATCACCTCCTCAACTTGTGACCTCTCTTGCTCATGTGGCTCGGCCTCTGGCTCAGGGCCCTGCGGCTCCCCCATTGGTGGCTTAACCGGATCCACGCTCAATTGTGGGTCCCCCCACTGAGATGCATCAAGGTGGGCCTCTAGACTTCGGAATGGCGTCTCTGATGGTCCACCCTCTTCCCGCTCCGGTGATCGCAGCGACGGTCCCTGCAGATCACTGTTGGTGATCGTACCACTTGCCTAAGTCCACAAGCAGGGAATGACTCCATTGCTTGAGTAGGCACCGCTGACTCCCCCTCTCGCCGCGCTAAAACCTTTCGGCCTTCCTTAGTCGCGATGGCCTCCCCTGGTTTAGGATCCCTCGTCCTCTTACTCCTCCGCCTCCTCTTGACCCTGGGCTCTGGCCTATCAGGCTCTGGCTGTCGGAACGCCTGTCGCAACTGAGCCTGACAATCCTCCTAACTGCTTGCCCTATCCCGGATCTGCCTCGCCACTAGCCTCTCTGCCCTTTTGGTCCAAAGGAGCAATGTCTACATCCACTCCTCCTGTGCAATCCCCTGATTGCGCATATACCGCTCGCTCGTAGGCTGTGATGAACTCCTCTACATTGCCTTCCTCCAATCGGATAGGAAAGCCATCGTGCCCCATCGGCGAAGCCCTCAGCCTCTGCATACCTGCCTCTACATCTGGCCAGGTCAATGCCTCCTTAGGGATATATGAGATAGGCTCCTCAAAACGTCCAGCTCCCCTCAGGTTCCGTATCATCTCCAAAGTGGTCCATCCTCTCCATGTCGCATGGCCCTGATAGGCGTCAAAGAAAAGCTTTATGTTACCATCATCAAAAACAGGCGTGGACTCTGTTCTGAATGGCCTGCGCTGGTCGTCTCCCCTATATGCTCCTAGGGGTCTCTGTCGTGGCCGTGCATCCCTCCCGCCCCTCTGCATAACTGTCTTCGAAAAGTCAAATCTGCACAACAGGCGAGAGAAAGCAAACAGGCACACAGTATAGTCAGCAAGCAGGTCCATCAGATCTACAGCGAACATTCCCCTAATCTAAACACACCTACCCCTCATTCCCTTCTTTCTAGTCTAACCAGGCCATGCGACACTTTGAGACAAGGGTTCATCCTAAGGGGTATAGAGTTATTTACCTATTCCCTGGCCACAAATTTCTTCAACCTCGTCCCTTACACCCAATCCTTCCATTCAGTTCCATCCAACACCTCGATCGGCTAGGCTCCGAACTCGCCGCATCGCGCAATCTTATAGGGTCCCAACCACCGTTTATCGAGTTTCCTCGACCACTGCTTTTCCAAAGAGGAATCGTACAGCAATATGACGTCCCCAACTGCCAATGGTTCCTTTCGCACTCGCGCCATCTGATCCCATAACATCTTATCCTCCATGCGGCTCCTTTCCACCTGATTGGAGGCCTCCCGTATCCTTTCTTTAGCAGCGCCCACCTGTTGAGCTCGAATATCGAGCAACTCTTCGAAAGACGGGTTGGTCTCAAAGTCTTGGCGCCTCCAGGTTTTCAAGAAGCTTTCTATGGGGAAGGTGACATGTCTCCAATACCACATAGTGGCTGGCGCGTACTTAGTAGTCCTCTTTACCGTGACATTCTTAACGAAGAGGGCTGCTCACAGGAACTTCGACCACTGACCGGGTCTACCTTCCGCCCACTTAGCTAGAAGATTCATGATAGTGCTATGCCCCCTTTCCACTGGTGCGTTTGCTTGGGGATGTGTAGCGGTAATATAATTCGCCACTACTTCATACCCTGCAAGCAACGTTTGCACCTCTCTGCAAGTAAACGACGATCATTGATCCATCACGAACTCCTTGACGAAAGAATAGCGTAGGTAGTACTCCTCGATGCAGCTTGCCAAAACTAGGCCGGTCTTCGTGCGAATGGCCCGACCGTCCACAAACCCAGTAAGGCTGTCTCGCGCATCGAAGATATAGTTATATCCATTCTTCGCAACTGGCATGAAGAGCAGATCCAGATGTACAACTGCGCCTACCTCTCTTTCCAACCTTGGGTGTAAGGGTTCCCCTGGCCTCTGCGCCAATCTCTCTTGGCATAGTACACAGGACTGGCAATACTTGATAACCATGTCCAGCATTCCACTCCAGTAATATAGTTCGCTTATCTTAGCGTACGTGGCATTTACCCCTTTGTGCCCTCCTGCTATACCGTCGTGCAATGCAGCGATAATATCGATCTGTCGGTTCCTCCCACACACAATCCGCTTGGGATTCTCCACTTGTCGTTTTGTAAACAAATGGTAATCTCTTACCACATAGAGATGCCTCATCTTTTGTGCCTTAGCACTTGCATCTCTGTCCCTCATCTCACAGGACAGGAGTAGCCCCAATTCAAGGTAGATTCCATCATATTTTTCCGTACGAAAAACTTTTTTGATCTCCCCTTCTTCAAATTCATCATCCCGACTTTCAGGCACAAAATCCTTGCCTTCGACCAGATTCAATGAGCCTCTTTTATCGAAGTCCCCCTGCAGAAGCGTATTCGTGAGAAGATACATCCCTTTCATCAGTTGTTCATACTCCTCTACTTCAGTAGGGCCTTCCTCTATCGTCCTTACTTCTTCCACCAAACTATATGTATCTGCCAGTGCCAATTTCATCATCCAGTGAACGTCCTTGCCTCCTCATGGGTCCTCCTCCTGAAAGGGCTTGAGAACTAACTCCGCCTTTTGCTCATACCCCCTAGGTGCTAGCCATATGGGGTGACTGACACAATTAGGCACCCACAAGGACCACTCGTTTATATGGAGTCGGACGTCCTCTTCTTGGTCCAAAAACCCATCAACTGGTGGAGTGTCTTCTACTGACTCCTGATCTGGCCTGTCCCAGTTAATGCAGCTGCCCTGTTCTTGTCCCTCATAATTCTCTCCAGCTCAAAATTAAACATTAAAATGTACGCCAACCATTTTGCGACGGTTGGGTCAGATGGAGTATAATTCTCCAGGGAACAGGCGAGCGCAGTGGGGTTCATCCTCAATATGAACCTCCTGCCATAAACATAGTTCCGATAGATCCTCAGGCAGTGGAGTACTGCAAGCGTCTCCTTTTTAAACTGGGAGTAGTTCCTCTCAGTCATATTAAGCGTCCGACTCTCGAGTCTTAGCGGTCTCTCCTTTCCTTCAGCATCTGCCTGAACCAAGACTCCTCCCAGGGCAGTTGGTCCAGTGTCCGTCTCAATGATGAATGGCTTCACCTCTGTAACCTCATAGTTCGGCGCCCCTAACACCAACTCTCCTTCTTTGAATTCCTCCTTCATCCTCTTTACAGCCTCTTCCTGATCTTCACCCCAAACCCATTCCTGATCCTGACGCACTAGCTTCCGCAAATGCTCAGTCTTGGCGGCAAAGTCTTCACGAAACTCCTCCAAAATCCACAAGTCTCGAGGAAGCTCCTCACATCTGTTATTGAGTGGAAGGGTACCGGTCACTCGACGATCTTGTTTGTTTTCTTCACATCTGGCCTCCGACCACTCTCATTACAGACAAAGCCCAAGATGGTAGTTTCTCCCATGCAATGCTTGGATTTTGGGCCACTTGCTGAAAGGTTGTACTCTACCAGTAGGCTCGGAACCCGATCAAGGTCCTGAATATTCCTCCAGACAAAACGCCTTACTCCAGGCATCACTTCGTCTTCCTCTCTCGCTCTCGGAACCTTGACCGCCAAATCATCAATATAAGGTTGAGTGATGTGCGGACTGACCGTCTGCATGGCCCTAGTCATATGTCTTTGCACCATCGCCACTACATTGGTCCAGCCTTGAGGGGCTGCATTCATATGAATTAGCCCTCTTGGCGTATGCATTGTCGTTACTGGCCTATCCGGCGAGTACACAGGAAACTGGTCATATCCAGAATAAAGGTTTATAAGCGAGATTATAGGCCTCCTTGCACATGACTCTGACAATGCGTCCGCGTTCGATAATCCTCCCGCGTCTCGCACTGTCACGACATTTAGCCGTTGCAAGTCCTATGCCCACCGCAGCGTCCCATTCGGCTTAACGAAGCAAAACCACGGGTAAGCATACGGTCTGCTGGAATAGTTAGCAACATGCGTGCACATCTTTCCATCTAGGTAGTCCACCAGCACCTTTTCCTCGTCGGGGTTAGGATATCGCGCGCCTCTTAAATTTTATGGTTCATGTGGAACGGTGTGGATCCGAATCATCCAGATCTTGTCCATATCCAGCCTCCCACGATGATCGTCATTAAAGGCGTACGCGCGATGCCTCTTCTTCATTAACCCCACCATCAGAGTCTTCTCTTGGGGTGAAAGGAAGTCAGGCTCTCCAAGTATCTGCTCCCCTTCATTCTCATCATTGATACGGCATGAATCGCTCGATGCCTGCTCCCTCATACGCCGTATCAATCCTCGTTCCCATTCGTAATAGGCCTCCTCATCTTCAGTAACGAGCACGGGAACTGGGCGACACTTCTTATCTATCGTCTTGTACCGCCTTTGGGAGCCCTGCTTAAGCTGTCCCCTAAAAAATATCGGCTTGTTGTTTGTGCATAAGCCATCGCAGGACCTCCTCTTCCACCGGGAAGCCGATAGATCAATTCCACCTCCCCTGTCTGAGGGCCTTTCAAAACTTGCTCTCTCAATGCCTTGATTGCCTCGGGGTCCACCATGTCATGTGCTGCCACTACTTCCATGACCTTATTCACATCAATGAGGCCTAGTGACAGTACTTCGTCCCCTCTCTCCTCCTCAGGCGCCTCTCAGAGCCTCTGCCGCTCGTTCTCAGATTCCTCATAAGTGAACGAGTCGAGGTTAGGCCTATTCCTTCCACTCCCTGACCCTGTGTTCCGGCATGTGATAACCTCATAATTTCCACAGGCCGGATCACTTATCAGGAGGATCATTCCGTCATGCTTGTTGAAGATCAGAGTCTCTGTCCTGCACAGGAACGATCTCCCCAAGAGTATAGGATGATCAACGTCTGGCATGACAAAGAAGCAAGCCCTCGTTCGCAGTCTGCTGATCTCCACAATCACATTGGATGTCGTGCCACAAAAGACCACCTTGCAATTAGCGCCATGCAGTACCCCGTGGTCCGAGCGATCGACCTCCAATCCCAACATAATCGCATCTCTTTCCCGGATGATATTCATCTCGGCGCCCATGTCCACCATCACAATACACTTCTGGTCCCTCACCACCAAATCCACCAACCCACATGCCACACATTTCCAATCCATCCTCGTTCCTGCTTCCGTCCATCCCACTTCTCTTGGCAGGATTGTACTCAAATGGACGTTGAACACCAACCTCCGCGAGAGTCGTCCCTTCAGGCTATCTCGGAGCCTTGGGGCGGACTCCAGAATATCCTTTAGGTTCATAAGGTCATTATGACCTTCTAGAAGCTTGTCCACCATTTTTTCCACGTCGAAACCCTCTTCTAGCCGAACCGCGTATTTCTTCCTTTTAGGTACGCAGTCGCGCTGGCTCGGCTCGGCTTCCTCCTGAGTCCCTCTCTTTCTGGCCCTTAGCTCCACTCGCCGATCTTCCTCTTGCCGGAGCCTCTCATCCTGCTCATCGTCATCCTCCTCTTCCTCTTCCGGGACCTCAACTACTTTTTTCCTGCGTTCGGGCTCAGGTTCCCTTCGAGGGGGTGCCTGACTGGGTACTTGACTGGTACCAACCTTACTCTGGCCTCTGGTTCGTGCCGCCTGTGGCACTCTTCCTTACGAAGTTGAGGGCCTATAGGTCATCCCTGACCTAGGGCCTGATCCCACCGTCGCAACCCCAGGATACCCCTGCTGCCTTGGCGCCGATCCAGATCGGGATTCGTAGAGGAAGACTCCAGGGAGGTTGGCCTTCCATTCCTGGGTCTCATCACATAAGTCTTTCAATTTCTGCTGGTACCTACTCACTTTTCCCAGCAGATCTTCCATTTTCTCCAAGATGGTTATGGCCAACTCTCTCATCTCTCCCAATTCTTCATCATCCGATTCAACGACTATTGACTCTTCCTTTATAGTCCCTGCCTTTAGTCGCTGGGTAACCTCCTCACTTTCCTCCACGATCTCCTCGATCCTTACGGTAGAGCATTGCCTTTCTTGCCATAATCTAAACATCACCGGAGGTGCTGGCCCTGGCACTGCTCGCCTAAGGGCCTCTTGCTTGACCCCACCCAGAGTCTTTGGGTCAATATATTTTTCGACCTTATCGTATATGTCGCCGTCCATATTGGTGGAGATCAGTCCGGAAAGTTCGTCATCTCGCCGGTGTTGGCAAAATCGTATGGTATGACCTATAACGTCGCAATGCTGGCAGATGGCATTCCGCCAATCAAAGCGGGCTCTTCCATATCCCTGGCCCCCTTCCTGACCACCTTGGTTGCCCTGACCCTGACCTCCTTGGCCATTCCATCCTCCACCACGGCCTCCGCCATTTCGCCCTTGTCCTCTTCCTCCACCTCCTCGCCCACCTTGGCCTCTATCGTCATTCCCGTGTCCACCCTGTCCCTGGTCCCCCGCTCCTGCCACGCTAGCCTGTGATACTTGCTGCGTTTTGCCCCTGAGCCGCCGGAAAGCTTGGTGACCCCGTACTCGAGGGCAGGTCCGAATAAGGTACCATCTGCTCTGGGGAATTTTGGCCTCCTCCCCATGAGTTGTAGGGGTTACACATGGGTCAGGGTGCCATTGGGCAGAAGGGCTGCCACTGTCCATATAGGAATGGAGGCCCCATTTGTGAAGGCATTGCTGATATAGACGAGCCGGCGGCATTTGGCGATGGCGTTACAATCGCTTGTGGAATCTGCCCTTTTCTAGAGCCTTACCCTCCTAGCAATAAATAGCGCTGCTTACGCTGCGCCTTACTGAGGACTTGGGATCCCTTCTCCTCCTCGCCATAGTCTTCCTGCCCAGCTTCCTCTCTTACACCCTCTTTCCCCTGACCTTGGATGATGGTCACCACCTTTCTCTGTTCTATCTGGTCTTTAGCAATCCCCAACTCTAATAGAACATCCGATACAACCTTCTTCATATCCGGGGCTCTCGTAGTCCCCGCATCCCGTTCCTTGCGCTTCTTCCTGTGCTGGCGCATTTGGAACTGGTGGACCTCGTCCAAGTCACCTTCCTATACTCCTTTGTCAATCGTAACCCAGGTAAGCTTTTCACCTCCTCCTCCTTTGCTTGTGAGTTCCTGGGCCTCCGTAGATTTGAACAACCCGAGGAAGATGGCACACTGCTCCTCTTCCGAAATCCCCGAGACCATCCTTGCCTTTTTCTTAAAATCCTCGGTCAGTGCCCCAACGGTGGTGTAGTCATTCCTGTTAACAGCTTCCATATCTGCCGCCGTTAGCAGCCCATCACCCAACCGATATTTTCTCTGCATCCCATCTTTAAATCAGGACCAACTGTCATTTATTGTCGTTATAACCTTCTTGACTTCTTTAAGTACTTCAAGACACGCTGAAACTTCACCGCGTCCGCTACTCCAACCATCGCCTACTCGACCAACTCGAGCCAATCTGAGACTTGCTCCCCCTTGAACAAGCAGGTTTCAACCTTCGAAACCCTACCACGGGCCAGATCTCGCCGATCCAAAGCCTCGACCAAGTCGTCGAGCGTTATCTTATTCCCACCATCGGCAGAATTTGCTTCAGCCATTTCTTCTAGACTTTAGAGTTACAACCCCTGATAAGAAAAAATAGCAATTACTCCATTCAGCAACTAATCGGCTTTGTAATATCATTACTGACTTCGACATCACTTAGCCTACCCACATGACCACCAACTTAAATTCACCCTTTTTTCTAACCTGGGCAGGGACTAGTTTTACCTGAAGCTTCAAACTTTTTACGTCCTAAGGAAAATCTCCCAACCTTAATCCGACTCTTCCTAGAGTAATCCTTTAAACTATTAACTTCTTATATAAGCCAAATTCACATGTCGTTCTGCCTAGATCGCCCAACTACCCTTAGCCTGGGTTCGATCTCTTCAGGACCTCAAAATGAGATCCCCTGCAACGGCGCCCCCTTGTCGAGCACATCGGTCCGGCACCACACAAGGCAGCACGGGACCCTCCCGGCCTCGTCACGCAGAAGTTGGTTTAAATCCTCGTCGCGAATATACACATGGAGTTTCCGCAAGCCGCTCCAGCTGAGTGCGCCAGCCATACCTCTCGCGAGCCCCTACGACAGGATAGGGCCTACGAGAGGCACGACTCACCTCCACCTTACAGGAGTTGTCACCTCCCTTCGGTGGGCGTATCCCCGCCGAGCTACCAGTCCACAGTACGAAAGCAGATCAGTTGCAATCGCAGAGCCGAGGGCGTTTCTCGTTCGCTATAGCATAGGGGTTACGCGCGGCATTACGCCTCTATCGGACCCGCACGCGAACCGTCATCTTGGGGGGCTGAAGTCTCAAGCGCGACTCGACGTCGATCGACTAGGACGTATCCCACTCACCACACGCACACCACTCTAGCAGACACAAAAATAAAACACATACGCATACGCACACATATACGAAACGACAACGGACAAACGACGCGACAACACTCCTAGTCCCTTCAGTAGCCATCTCATAACCTTCTAACGTGGAAATTGGATAGGCATCGCGCGCGAGACTTAGTATAAAACCGCGCGGACGCAGGGCCTACTCATATCGACTCGCAATTCAAGCGTATGCAAGCGGTCACAATGATGACGTACTATGTAATGCCTATAATCAAGCGGTCCTTCGTGGATCCGAGTACCGCTTATGACACGCAAGTGTCAGACTCGAAGTTTCGTGAGGGTTTACCCCTTCACAATATGGCACGGCTGAAGGAATAGCTGTTCAGTCGCCGCGACACCTTCGGACTTTAAGCTGAGTGTCTCGACAAGCAAGGCAAATAGGCTCTGTTCGAGGGGAAATCCCTTCCATGCAAAGTCTATTGGGATGTCCAGGACAAGGACCTCGAATCCAGGCCCAAGAACAACGTCCGACTAAGAAATCATTAAAAAGCATACAACGAAATAGAGGGTTTACCCCTCTTTTCTCAATTTCAACCCCTAATTAAATCCTTAATACGTGGGCTTCCTCGGGTCACGCGAACACCCAGTATAGGTACACATAAATACATATATATAAAGGGGAGTAAGTATGTGACGATCACTTCTCACAATCACAGTGGGACTCCTCACAGCCATATGTATATGTTTGATCACAGACAGTCAAATCCAAAATTTGAACGTACCTGCAATCACATCAAAGAGTCAAACAAGAATTCACGCACTACACGGAGTCAACTCCAACCACTCCCTACACTCATACCCCTCGCTTTAGTCATGCAAACCCCAACCTTTGTCCAACCAACCATAATTAAATACTCAGTTGTTAAATGACCATTTAATGAAAGCCCGGGTGGAAACCTTAATAAAATAACAAAAGTCATCAGGGCTAAAGCCTTTTAGGTTGAGTATGGAGGATGGATGGGAGTTGAGTCATAAATCGATGAATCGGAGATCGACCTGTTATCAGTGATAACAGAAGATGATCCTTGTAGGATCAAACTGAGTCTAGTCCTGATCTTGAATCAAACGATCAAGAGGACCTGTAATACACGCAGGCCACTCCCCAGGCTAAACCTATAAGTCCATGGAGAATGACTTCCATATCACGATCTCACCAAGTTTCGTTCTACTTACCTAAGTCTGAGCCTACCTTCAAGCAAGTGCCCAAAGAAAGGTAGATCCTGACAAGATCTCCTCCCTACAGAGTGAATCGCTAAGATCGCCACCTGTCAAAATATATTCTAACTTCTCGTAAAATAAGAAAATTTTGACAGTGCTTTCCGTAGGAAAACTGTCTTTCTTGACTTTATATAAACTCAAATATAATATGAAATAAATCTCTAACTCAAGAAGGCTTAAATTTTGTCCAACTTCTTGAATTAGCAAAAATTTGGGCAGCACTCCCTTTAGAAAGGGAGACTTCTCTGATTTATACTAACTCAGATTCAAACTCAAAAGATGAACTTGAGTTCAATTAAGACAAAACTCAACCAACTCCTTAGTTTTGTACAAATTTTGACAAAACTCAACCAACTCCTTAGTTTTGTAGAAATTTTGGCAGCACTCTCTTTAGAAAGACGCTATTCCAAAATTCATACAAAACTTAAGTTCAGAATTCGAAAATAACTTTGACCTTTCAAAGTCCAACTTTTGTCTAACTCCTTGAATCAGTGAAAATTTTGGCAGCATTCCCTTTAGAAAATGAGACTTTGCAGATTTTTACTAAGTCATGTACAAAACTTAGGCAAGTTAAACTTTGAAAAGTCAAAATCTGACAAACTCCTTGGATTTGTAGAAATTTCGGTAGCGTTTTCCGTAGGAAAAGTGGCGTACCAAGATTTATACCAGCCCAAGTAGAAAATGTAAAAATTCACCTCAGTAAAAATAAAGTTTGCTAAGAAAATGCAAAAATTTAAACCTACTATTATCGCTCTAGCACGTTGTCGCGCGCGGCGGTCCCACACCTTAGACGCAAAGTAGTTTTTCTGTCGGACCTCACGGTCGTGTCACGCAGGAGTTTTTTCTTGTCACTTTACACAATACCAACTCCGACCGTGCGTGCGTGCTGTACCGCTCGTGACTCCTTACGACAGGTTAGGGATCCCACGAGGTACAACATTACCTCCACCTGCGGGAGCTGTCACCATCCCTTAGGTTGGCGTATCCCTGCTGAGCTACTGACCCACGTGCGAAGGTTTTTACATGTAATCGTAGAGGTAGGCCAGCCGAGGGCGTTTTCTCGATCGTCGTAGCATAAGCATACGCGCAGTAGAACGCTTTAAGACTGACTCGTATGTCGAGCCCCGAGATACTAACTCTCCGGACCGACTATCTAATCAGGTCGGCTTCTCGAACAGTCTTCCACGCTTAGCTGCTTATGACAATGCCTCAACGTTTATTTTGCTCATCATGTGAGAATGTCAGGGTCGATCCCCTTTGTAGTCTCCTATTCTCTCAAACAAAATCCTAGACAAACGACTTTCCGATCCCGACCAACTACGATCCCGTTCACAAGTATATGTATATATATAAATGTATGTATGTATGTAAATCAGGGGAGCTAACTGAGCGGTGGACCTCACTTTCACGATTGTCGTGTCCCTTTGCCCGAATATCTCAGACGATCCCAAATTCAGAAGACATCACAAATGTCCAACACCTGTGCAAATGCAAGAAACCACATACAAACATACAGATGCAGACACAGAATGCGCTACAAGCGTCAACCTTTAACCCATTCATAGCAAGCCACTCACGCCCCAAACCCTTGAAAACAACATTCCTTCCTAACCCTGACTCCTTTTACCCCAACCCCACACATTTTCGAAGACTTTTGAGTGTGATTTGAACAATTTAGGCATAGATACAGGGGAAAGATTTATCTGTTCCCTTCTTAGGTTTTGTCTTAGGTGTGGGTATCAAGCCATGGTGGAAGTTGAGTCGGAGTTCTACCGACATGTTATCAAATGATAACAGAATTGTTGTTCTTACGGATTCCCCYGTAAGTTCTYCGAAGTGTYGAAACYTGTAGACACAACAMAGTCCAAGAGAAACTTAACATSTCTYTTCCTAACTGAGATCTAGAAATTTCCTTCTAGACTCTATGTCTTCTTATCTGACTCCTATCCTTGACTTAGTCGTTTGGGTTGTTGCCCTTCCGCTTCAGGTAGTGAATAATAGTTCACTCCCCTTTTTTACTGTCAAAGTAACTCTCCATATCCCCTTCACTANAGTCGTTTGGGTTGTTGCCCTTCCGCTTCAGGTAGTGAAT